CGTGAACAGGGCCAACTGATCGGAAGCCGATTAATCGATTATTGAAAAAGTTGACAACTTTTTCAATAATCGATTATAATCGATTATGTCGATTAGTTGTTGCAGCCCTAGATACCTTTCTTATTTCATCCCTGTACTCATCACTGCAATACTACGTTTTTTTTTACGTCTTGTCTACTGGACTAATACGGCTTACCCATTTATATTGCACTAATATTATATCTATCTATCTAGATCTCTATATAGATCTATCTATCCTGGAACGTACTGAAAGCCCATTTTAGGCTATATCTAGAGAGACAAAATACTTTTTTGCCCCACTGTGTATATATATATATATATATCTCTCTAGATATAGATTAATTTTTTTGCTAGCCTAAAATGGGCTTTCAGTACGTTCCAGGGCATTTGCATGCATTTTTGATGCGTTTGCATGCGTTCCAAAGCAGGAAAAAATAGGACTTGCTGCACTTTTTTTTACATGCTCTGGAACTGAACGCTGCAGTGTGAACTAGGGCCCAAAATACCATTGGAATACATAGGACGCAGTTTTGATCCATTCTGTAACTGCTCTGCAACGCGCTTGGTGTGAACTAGCCCTCAAGGAGACAGTACAAACAGATTGTAAGATGTGCAGTGAGCTTAAAAGCATTGGACATCAACCTCTTTGAACAATGCAATGCAAGTCCAATATAAAAGCAGATCAAATGCATAAAACCAGCCGATGTTACAGATAATGAGAAAGCTGTATCGCAAGAGTCCAACGCAAACAACTGACAGGCGACTCCTAAGAGGTTCTACAGTAGTTCAAGGTCTTTTTAGCAGTCCTCACAACTGACAAGCAGCGTGTTCCCACAAGATTTATTTGTATGTCTATCAACATGATGACTTTCAGGGTGTAACAAGAGCTTGCACTTGCTTTTCTCACTTCCTACCCAACTGCAATATTTTAGGCCGGATGTTGATATCTGATGTTAAGGAGAGCTCCATCCAAAAAAAAAAACACACAAAAAGACAGCAGCAGAGGGAAGTTCAACTTTTGCCTTTTCCTTCTTTATCTATAGCTGCTATAGGAACCACTGGGGAAAATGTCTGGCCTCACCTTGTGTGCACTCTAGCCTAGGCATAGTAGCTGACAGGAGGCTAGACTATTAGAACATGGAAGTGGGGGCAACATGACAGCTGTCTCCCTGCACTCATCACCAATGTATGTTTCACAGATATTCTCGTTGAAAGCCTCATAAATAATGACTCGTCCACTGCATAGGCAATTGTCACCAAACTCTGCTACTCTTACACACCCCAAAGAGACAATAATGGTGAAAAACATAGCAGACACAGGTGGAATTCCACACACACACACACACACCAGTACAGTTGTGTCTCAACAATGTCACTGTATACATTATACCCTTCTATAGCAACCTCAGGTCCAGCACACACACACCACTCTATAGCGACCTCGGGTCCAGCGCACACACACACCGCTCTATAGCGACCTCGGGTCCAGCACACACACACCGCTCTATAGCGACCTCGGGTCCAGCACACACACACCGCTCTATAGCGACCTCGGGTCCAGCACACACACACCGCTCTATAGCGACCTCGGGTCCAGCACACACACACCGCTCTATAGCGACCTCGGGTCCAGCACACACACACCGCTCTATAGCGACCTCGGGTCCAGCACACACACACCGCTCTATAGCGACCTCGGGTCCAGCACACACACACCGCTCTATAGCGACCTCGGGTCCAGCACACACACACCGCTCTATAGCGACCTCGGGTCCAGCACACACACACCGCTCTATAGCGACCTCGGGTCCAGCACACACACACCGCTCTATAGCGACCTCGGGTCCAGCACACACACACCGCTCTATAGCGACCTCGGGTCCAGCACACACACACCGCTCTATAGCGACCTCGGGTCCAGCACACACACACACACACACCACTCTATTGCCACCTCGGGTCCAGCACACACACCCCTCTACAGTGACCTCGGGTCCACCACTCACACCCCTCTACAGTGACCTCGGGTCCATGACACATACATCATTTACCATATGGTGCTTCCCCTGAATTCAGCTAGTTATAATACCTTTCACTAGAAGTTACCTATAGAAGTCAGAGAGGTTATCTCTAAAACTACCTACTAAGTCACAAACAAACTGGCATATAGTGACGAATGGCGAATGCTAACAGGCAAAATCTTAGCCAGGATAAACATGACTAAAAGCATTCATTCAGCCCAACATATTGATTATAAAAAGACATGAGAACATCAGCCTAGATCTACCTCATTAGGGTATGTGTAATATACACACATAATATACCCACACAGACACACATAACTTTATCCTTAGGTTGCTGGTTATTTGTAAACCCATATCCTCCCCAGGTCTAGGTGTCCTTGACCAGGGCCAGGCATTGATCTTCAGCGGTTTGCCCCATGTGCCAGGCCGGAGTGTACCCCTGGGGTGCCCAGTGGCAGGACCTGGCACATAGAAGGAGAGAAGCGAAGGATGGCGAGCAGATAGAGGCAGCAGCGGCCGCGCATGCGCAGAGAAGGGCCGGTGGACACTACAAGGCAGGAAGAGCTGGCAGCAGCAGACAATGGGAAAGAACATTTGGACCATCATCAGTCTCATCACTCACCGACACACAGGGGCTGGAGGTGGTGCTGGGGGTGGGGGATCGCTGCACCGTAACAAGAGCCATCTAGTAGCCGGAGGAGCACTGGAGCCGTCGCCACCACCGGGCTGTCATTCTTATCCCGGGGAGAATGGAGAGATCCCGGGGTTCACGCTCACGCCACGGCTATAGGAGACGGGTCCTTGTGTGATCTGTTCCCCGCCTGTGCCGGTCAGATGATAATCAGCACGCAGTGCCCTCCTCCGCCGCCGCCACCGCCTGTGATCCACACTCCGCACCGAGAGGAGCGGCGGCAGCTGTACCAGCGCTGTGTGTATGTGAGCACTGAGCATGCGCAGACTGTCAGCCGTCACTTAGCCACACCCGTTCTACCCTATGAGCGCCAGAGAGCGAGGAGCGGTGTGCATGCATCATGTCATCATCAGATTCATGACTGGTACATACTACTGTCACCGCACACCTGAGCAGCACACAGTTTGACTTCTGATTGGAGGATTTGTCTCTGGATGTCTTCAGTCCTCCTAGAATGGGCAATATTTAAAGAAGAACTCCGCACACACATTTTATTAACCCTTGCAGTGGGGCAACCCTGTACAGGAAGGGTTATACTGACCTGATCCTCAGATCCTGCCGCCTCTTAGACTGGTCCCTGGAGCATCTCTCCCCCTCCGCTGCAGAGGTCTAAGGTCCCTGAGTAATCATGTTCTATACACTCTGTGTATAGAACGTGAGGACGCTGAGGGACATTCTATCACTAGAGCAAAGGAGGAGACATGCTGAAGGGAGCACTACTGGCTCAGAGGATCGGGTGAGTATAACTTTTTTTTCCCTAGGCAAAAAGTAGAACGTTAACCCTTGCAATGCGGGGGTAGCTACACTGAAAGCGTTAATACAAATGTATGCCAGGAGTTCTTCTTTAAACTAACATACAGTCCTACTATGCTGCTGAGACCGTCCTGGGAAATACTGCATCAGAGGACTCTGGGATATAGTGTATGATTAGTGAAATGTTGAAGAGTGATGGCAGAATAAGTTAGTCAGCATCCCCAAGCCCTTTGTTTACATTCAGCCCTTAGCCTGGGAAGTGGGGTCAAAGGTGAGTTACTACTTGCTAAGATGCCATTGGCTGCACAGCCAACAGGCTCTCAGCAACCAATGGCGTAGTTGAGTGGGCAGAGCCTGACGGGGAATCTAAGGTAGTAGTTCCCCATAAGGTTTGCCTCTCTTTTGACTGGCAGTGGGCGGATTCCATTAAACCTGCTGTCAATGCAGATAATTCAGCAGCAGAGCAGACCTCATGGGGAACTAGGCTCTCGGAGTTCCCCATCAGACCCCACCATCTCACAGTATAAGGCTGGCCATACACTTTACAACCATCACAACTTGAGTCGTGCGATGGTTGTAAAGTAATTAAAAGCTCATACGATCTGCCCATCTTGGACAGGCAGATCGTACTTGCGATCATCGAAAGCGGGTCGGGCTTCTGGTGACTCCAATGCCGCATAGGCAGTGTGCGCTTGCGCACACCGGCCCGTGCGGCATTTGTCTCCCCAGAACGCCACTAACCCTCCGACATTCATATGATTCTCAGCGGGTTTTCAAGCCTGCTCGGGAGACAAAAGACGTGCGACCGTACAGGGGAAACGGTCGCACGCCTTCCATACACCTGCCGATTATCGTACGATCGCGGGATTTCCTGTGATTATCATACGATAATCGGCAGGTGTATGGGCACCTTAAGTCCTTGGGCCTGTCTGCATGACAGCTGTAATGGTTGGGCAGTGATTTTATCAGGCTCAGCATTATTCCGCTGCACTGAGGACGGAGTATCTAGTATGGACACTTCAGCCTCAGTGCACCTTCACACAGCAAATGGCGGTACTTGCACCAACTTCATGTACTTGTTTCCAGTATTGGGCAATCACCAACATTTGTTGTGTGGATGTACAGCAGAATTCTAAAGAGTGTCATAGACCTTCTATATGAATTCCAGGGATTAGGTTCCTTCAGTCTCTCTTGATATGTTTTAGCATTCAGACCTTTCACTATTTTTGTTCCTAGTCTCTGGACTCATCCTATTTTATCAATATCTTAATGTCAGTGAGGTCCCCAGAACTAGACACGGTATTATACCCCAGGTACAGTTTGACATCTTCTGCTTGGGCACCAGATGGCCTTGTCCTGGCACTGGAAGGAGGAGCAGTGGGCATAAGGAGAAGGAGGAGGACAAAGAGGTGCCCTCAGCATTGTTGGACGCCGCTGCCACCACCAGGATTTCCTGGAGAACTGGAGACCAGCCCTGCCACCAGAGGGGTAAGTGTTTGTATGTATGTGTTGCATGTATCTGTATGTAGTCAGTGTCAATGAAATGGTTGGTGTGTGCACCTCCAACCTATACACCATTCTACTGACACACACAGCGTCTGTAGGTGGCAGCCAGGTGCACTGCCAGTGTCACTGGAATGTTAGATAGGTGGGAGCCCTTCTGCCTATCTGCCCTTCCAGTGATACTTACAGTGCCTGTTGGTGGCAATGCCAGTGTCACTGGAAAGGTGTGTGTACCTGGCTTTCACTTATCCACCATGACACTGACAATGCACCTGGCTTCCACCTACAGGCACTGTCAGTGTCACTAGAATGGTGGATAGGTGGGAGCTAGGTGAACTGTCAGTGTCACTGGAATGGTGGATAGGTGGGAGCTAGGTGCACCGTCAGTGTCACTGAAATGGTGGATAGGTGGGAGCTAGGTGAACTGTCAGTGTCACTAGAATGGTGGATAGGTGGGAGCTAGGTGAACTGTCAGTGTCACTGGAATGGTGGATAGGTGGGAGCTAGGTGAACTGTCAGTGTCACTGGAATGGTGTACACACAGTGCACCTTGATCCCACATATCCACCATTCTGTAGTCAGCAGGCCTAGGCCCCTCCCACTTTTTAAAGCACAATTTGGACACACCATCCAGAGCCCTGCCCCCGCCCCCACCCATCATCTCAGGAATTCCAATTTCTAAAAGTTCCCAGGTATGCAGATCACTAGTGCTCAAAAAGCGCTCACCTGCACTAAAAAAAAACAATACCAGCGGCAGCCATGATCTTGGTATAACCACTTCGAGATCAGAAAGGAAATGTATGCCCTATGGTCCTGAAGTGATTAAAACAGATCACCTAATCTATATTACGTTCGGTTCCCCGACACAAGCAGATATTCATCAGATGGATAAGAGATCGTTAAATTGATTGAATGGAGGATTTTGTATTTGAGATTTTTATTCAGATTGAATATTTTACTTACATTGACTGATCTGTTCTATGTGTGTGTGTGGCCACTTTTAGACAGAGGCAAAGTGTCTTTGGAAACGATGCATTCCCCTTTACTGGAAGGTTGCCCATTAGCTCATAGAGTACCTGGGATCATGCAATTCACTTACTGTATATACATTGACTGCCTCTATCAGCTTCAAGCAACTAAATTATTCTTAATCATAGTGCTGCTGCAATGTAGAGAAGTGTTAAAGCAACACAGTACTGTCAGGGAATAGGAATGCTCATTTGTACAATGTATAATATAAATCATATCCTATCAGGACCTCTAGAGGGTGGAAGTAATGAGAAATTGTTTTTTAACAACTAGAAATGATTACAGAGGGAAGAAAAACATTGATATGGAGGGCATATAACTAGTTAATCCAAAGTGACATTAAACATCATTCCATTTCTGTTAATTCATGGTGGTGCAATATAATGTCAGGCACAAATGTAAGATCCATAGATCCATATAGGGCTAGATTCACAGGGGAAATAAAACAAGATTAAAATTCTGTCCATTACAGTTTGTAAACATGACAGCTTTTGAGAATATAATATTTAACTGTTTAACATATTTCAGACGCTATGTTTGAGGGCAGAATAATTGCTCTATCATATCTTTCCAACCCCTGGAAGGTCACAGGTGTGTTATAGCTTGAGGCTAGTTCCATGTTTTTACCAACTGCATTGGTTATACTTCATACTCCTCCTGATGTCCAAGTGAAGTATGACACTTTAATTCCATTGGGATTCTTGGGTGTTATATGTGAATATATATCCTTTCATTTTGTATTATTAAAGCTAAATAAATAAATTAAATTATTAAAGTGACATTAAAGTCTAATTTTTTTCCCCTCCCCCCAATGTTAATGTTAGCAATTACCTTAAATGATGTCTCTTATTCCGATCTTCTTCTTCTTTCCTGATGTTTTCATCTGTCCCTCCAGCGGTGCGGCGGCTCTCCGATCCAGCGCTGACTCCTCTGTCCCTGCAGGCACTTCTGATCCAGCGGTGTCTGGATGCTGGTGCACGCGTCCATAGACTTACCTTGCGTCTCTGCTCGTCTCCCGGCCGAAAATCCGAACTGCGCATGCGCCCGTCCCAAGATGCTTTGCAGCCGCTCGATCAGTTTCAGATTCTCGGGCGGGAGCGCGCAACGATAACACGGTAAGTGTTAAAGCTTTTTTTGTTTTTAACTTTTTGCCTATATCTACTGCTTGCTAGTAGATATTGGCAACAAAAATGGAGGGTTTAGAAACCCTTTAAACTGTGAACCTATATCTTGGTTTAACCAAGAATAATTTCCCTTTTCCTTAACCAAGAAATATTTCTTTACTTAGTAGTCCTAGCCTTAGTGTATGTAAAGCCTACATTTATTTTCAGTATCTTTATCATTATGTCTCACCGTATGCAGATTTTTTAAGCAAGTCATTTTTTTGGAATCTGTTGCAGGCTGGGGATCCTGCTAAGTAACAGGACTTCATGTTTAAGGCTGATGATGCTAAGCCGGCCATGCAATCTCCTTTAGTTGGCCATTGGGTTGCCTATCCAATAGATCTGATAGGCAGCTCAATGGCCAACTGAGGGTGCACAGGATAATAACACTGCTGCTAATTGCAAGGCACATACCATGGGAAGAGATACTCGTTTATCATTCAGAATGGGGCAATATTGTCACACTCACCTGTGCCCCGTTCCAGTGCTGGGTTTTCCATTCCACACGTGGCCACTAGCTTCTAGGTTCCACTTGTGCCGCAGCCAATTTACATCCAGGCCATGTCCTCAAGGGCTAGTGGATTTGTTGCTTGGTGTTTCAGCAACACATCACCACACAAGCTGCTGAGCCTCCTGTGCCC